TTCCTTTGTGCAGGTGTGCTCTGACATGCCAGTGCAGTCTCCTCAGGATCAGGCATGGGGGTAGTTTTTGAAAGGTTGTAGATATAAAGATACTTATGGGATCGAGGGGCTGCTTGAAAATTCATCTGCATTCACGCAGGGCTTCGGAATCCTCTTCAGAGAATGTTGCCAAACATTGAACTGAGAGGTCTTTCCCCCCTTTGCAGTAAATCTAAGCTTAAAATTGGCACCAGGCAATAGGCAGTGAGTAAGGGGGAGAGTGGGTGTGTAAATGATTACAGGAAATGAAGAACTAGATTTCAGCCTGGGATTGCTTCCTCCCTCCTCCCTCCACATGAGCATGGCCAGTAACTGAGTACTCTTTCTGATCAGGGTATTCTCTTTCTTGCTGCATCCAAAAGTTAACACTCAGCTATCCTTCCTTCCACGTGTGCTGAGAATTTGCATTCTCAGCAGAGGACAGTGTGCAAGGCACACGCACTTCCGAGTCATGCCTTTCAAGGGACCTACAAGTCCCACTCCTGTGGACTGTTGCACAGCCATCCCGAGCAAATAGACTCATCGGGTACATTGCTACCCTTCCCAAAACAGCTCATAGTAAAAGAAGAAGAGGATTCACTCAGCTTTTGACATGCACACTCATAGAAAGCGAGGTTTTTAGAATGCCAAACCTCAAAAACAAAACTGAAGCATTTTTGGCCTTTGAATGGAAAAGAATGGGAAAGGTGACAGAGAGGGAAGGAGTATTCTTACAAATCCAATTATCCTTAGGGTTCAGTCTTAATTCATCATTGTGTTGTTGTTGCTGAATAAGGATGAGTTGGAAATTATTTCCCCCCTTTTGTGCTTTAGTAACATCATAAGTTTTCCCAATTTTCTTTTACCTAAAATTTAAGGTTAGTGCAGGAGGTATTAAATGGAAGTTAAATGGCTACCAGGAGTACTGTGCTCTCTTGAAATTCAGACGCATTCTCTTCTCTCTTTTCTGGAGATACAGGTGCAGGGAGGGGAGAGGGAAGTTCGTCCCTCCTCCCATTTAGGGGTGTGTGTAGGGTCCAAGGACAGAGAGGCCTCAGTTTGGCACTGGATGACTCTACTCTCTGGTGGCAGTGCTTGAGGGAAACTGTAGACAGTGTTTTGTTTTTGTTTGTTTTTGTTTCTGTAAAATGGGGCCTCTGGAGCATTGAGTGCAGTGCTTACCAGAAGTCTTGCCACATCATGATAATTCAGGGAATCTCAGTCTCCTTCTTCTTGTAGGCAAACTATTGCCTTTTCTGTCTTCATCACATCTTTTCAAATTCACCACCTGACCTAGCTCCAGTCCTTCTGGCCTCTTTTATAAAGTCTCTTCTAAGCTGCACCACCTTCAGGTCATGGCTGGTCCAGCAGTACTGTGGATAGGTATGTCTATGAATCCCTGATGCCCAGGTTTGTGGTGGTCCCTGGTTTATGCCCCTGTCTAATCCAAGGCAGAGCTGCCCAATTCATTGGCTTTGACATCAGACAAGGCTCCAGTCTTGCAACTGGCTCTCACCAGCCTGGATCCTGATTTATTAAGTAATCCCACCCACCTGAGCCTCACTTCCTTATAACTTACTTTGTGGGTCCCACACATTTGGCGCCTAACTGGTTAGCAGCTGCTGGTTGAGTCATCTTAACTGAAGGTGCATTCTTCCCATTGGGACTGTTAGCACATCATAAGGATGTTTTTTAAAACCTCACTTAATAGCATTGAGGGGAGGGGGTAGAGGGGCCATTTGTCACCTAGCCCAGCTCAATAAACATTTTAAAGCTGTGGCCTGAGGAGGGTTTTAGGACTCCAAATCTCAATTTGTGAAAATCAGGTCAGAAGCCTTCCAGAGACACACCTTTAAGATTAGTTATGTACACAATATATTCACAGCTCCTTGTTTTAAAAACCAACAACAGGAACCAGGCCTGATGATGCAGGCCTGTAATCCAAGCTACTCAGGAAGCTGAGGCAAGAGGATGGCAAGTTTGAGGCCTTACTTGCCTCAAAATAAAAAACAAAAAGGGCTAAGATGTCGTTCAGTGGTAGGGCACTTGCCCAGCAAGCAAAAGACCCTGGGTTCTATCTCCATCATCTCGACTCATCCCCAAAGAGAACAACAATACTTTCAAATCTCCATTTAACTTTTGTTAGTTTGGGATGGGGTCTTCATGTTTCCAATAGGGGATTTTTTCTTAAGTTCATTTTCCTTTTTTTCCTTAGCAACTGAAGTTCCCTGGGTTTCAGAATCTATTTTAAATAATACTTCATTATTGTGAAATGACTGTATTCTTTGAGAAATATACCTAGCAGATGACCCTGCACATATCCTCACAAGTACAACTTGCACAGATCCACCTTCTGTGCTCACAACAGATGCCCGAGTCCCACCAGGCTCCAGAGATGCTGTCTTCCAGTGGGAGACTATCCTATTCCTTCCTTGCAGTTTTCTTGGTTGTAGGGGAGATGAATAAATAAGTAAAACTTGTTTTCTATAAAAGAAACAGGAAGTAGAGATACAAAGTGATACGAGAATACAAATCACCCAGGCACTGGTTAGATTTTCCATTCTGTTTCTCCAGAATATGTAAGCATGTAGCTACTCTCAAATCCATCAAGGGTGGGCCACCCCACTGTTTTTGAAGTCCCAGAATTATTTGTTTTTAAAGGCAAGAACATGCCAGAACAGGACTATAAAAATGATGGCATACACCAATGTATTTTGACATATGTGTCATGCCTAACACTTAACTCAAAGATGCACTGATGTGGGTATAATGGGTGGGGACAGAGCGGATTTCTCCCCCCATCTTCATCAGACTAGAGTCTTTAAATATACTGACAATAATTGACAAGGGAAAGATTCACAGGAGGAAAAAAAACACACATGTTTATTTATGGGCACAGGACATCACAGGAGGGCAAGTACCAAATCAGTCAATGAGGTCTAGAAGCTCATATACCCTCTTCATAGGGGAGAGGAAGTGGGGGAGGTGGGCAGTTTTTAAGAAAGAGGGGGACAGAATGAGGCCAAAGGGGCAAATTCCTCTTGGCTGTGGGTGTAGTATCTGATTTTCCATCACTTCCTCCATGCTATGAGTTTCATCATCTTCTGTTAATGACATTTCAGTAAGATGATTGAAAGCAATTATGCTCCTCCTAGGTGGATCTGTTCTTGGATAAGGGAACTTCAGAAAAAGAGAAAAGAAATATAATGTGACATCTCTATGTCAAACATACAATTATATGTCTCTTTAGTGGCTTCACCAAAGGGCGTTGTGTGTAGGTACCATAATATATTTAATAAATCCTCTCCTTAGATATTTATTTCTTATTTTTCTTTGCTAGTATAACACTCTTAGAAATATTCTTGTCTTGCTGCTTATTCATACATCTTATTCCTTTCTTAGGATGAGATGAGAGTTCTAATTCATACGGCAAAAATGTTCTCGCATATTTTTAAGATTTTAAATTTTTCTTTCAAAAACTGGTATTCTCATTTTTAGAAAAGGAAAGCAAGTCTTCCCATGCCAGAGTTGGAACTGGGCTCTTTTACCCCAAACATCACTGCTTCTGAGCTGAATTGTCTTAAATGCCAAGAAATACCAAGCCCAGTAACATATGGAGCTCAGAGGCAAAGAGCTGTGGTTAGGTATGGATTGGCCAGAAAGGCAAGCATGGGTATTCAGGGTCAAAGGTGGGGTTGCTCCGAGGACACAGGGGTKGGGAGGCCCACAGGGCACATGGAGCTACAGGATCTATAGCTTGTGTAGCTGTCTGGTTGCAGCAGAAAATGGAAATCAATGAGTGAGTTCATTCTCGGATGCCAGGCTGGGGCCAGAGTGAATCCAGCCTTCATTGTATAGCCTAGACAGAGCTGCTCTGGGGTCTTCCAAGCCCAGTGCCTGCAAGGGTCCCCAAGGTCACTCATTCTTGGCCTCTCCATTCTCACTTCCTCTATAAGCTTTGCCCCACTATGCAACAGTTTCTAACAAAACTCATTGGATGAAATGATGGAGGTCTCCAGAAAAGAAAACTTATGGAGCATGAACTCATAGTAACTCTGGGTCCTTCCTCCCGCCCTGCAGAGCCAGCCTTCCAGTTGCCTACCGGCTCCGTGCTTCCATTCTTGGCTCACCCAAAACCAGAATTTAAGAATCTGTACTCTCCAGCCCCCCGCCCCCCACCCATTTGCAAGCAGGCTCCTCTCTCCCTCTGCTTCTGTCCAGAGTTTCTCACCTAACACTGAACTTTAGCCCTGCAGCCCTGTCCCACAAAACCCTCTTTCCCCATTACCTCCCAGACCATCCCAGACTCGGCCTGCTAGGAACGAGGAGGTCCCATAGAAAGCTACTCTTCCCCATCTKTTGAATCCTGTTTATCTTTCCAGCACAGACCACATTCTGTCATCTTTAAGAAGTCTACCCAGAAACCACGTAGGATATCTCTGTGGTACTTACCAAACTCTCTGATGTTAACTTCCTGGATGCCAACCAATGAATCGGAGCCTATGAATTCTCCTCTTCTATGTGGGAAGAAACCATGAGGCCTTGCACCCCCAGTGTCTGTGACTTGGGCACCGGTCTGTGAATGAATGAGCAGGGGAAAAAAGTGAGCTGATAGGCAAATGAGTGAGAGGAGACTAGTGAAGCAGAGTTTATTCTAAAGGAGCCTGTTGGCTCCAAGATTTCCCTCAAAGAAGGATCTGGACAGCATTCTGCTCAGAAGGGGACTTGAAGCTCCTTATCAAGTACAGAGAACAACACAGGTCCAACTAAAAGAAGAGAGGTGAAAACCCATGGAGATCCAGAGGGAAGACATCCTCTTCTGACCCTGTAACAGCCTTCCCCGGGTTTTTGTCTTACCTTTCACAGGATTTAATACTTCCTATTGGTGTTTTTGTGTTGCGGAGGTTTTTATGTTGACTGAATTACATCTCACTGTTTTTGAAAGAAAACCTGTTAACATATGTGTGATCTGTTTCTTGTAGGCAACTACTGTCCTGAGTTCTGCATACTTCTGGTTGGGATTAATTCTGGTTCCTACTGCATGTTTGCTCGAAGATGTGGCGTGGAGAGCGTAAGTAGAAAATGAAGTTGTAGACCTAAGTCTAGCTCACCTGTCCTTAACAGTATCTCTCACCTGAGCCCTGTCTCAGGATATTAAGGGCAATGGGAATTCTGAATAATAGATTTCCTGCCACCACTCAGAAAAAAGGGTGGTGGTGGTATTTTTGGTTTTGTTTTTAACTTGTGCTTCATCTTAAAAATGAAAATTTAGACTCAAAGGAATCCCCAGAGAGTCTGTGTGAAAGTCAATAGAGATCTTTCCTTGTACTTGATCCTAAGGAAGAGTTTCTAAATACAAATTCATTTCATCAAGTTAAAGAAGACAGAGATGCTTTTGGGTCTTCCAAGCCCAGTGCCTGCAAGGGTCCCCAAGGTCACTCATTCTTGGCCTCTCCGTTCTCACTTCCTCTATAAGCCTTATCCTGTTCCTCCCACACTCAAACTTTGTTCTGTTTATATCTTAAACTCGATGCTAAGTGATCACAAATATGGTCTGCCTTTAAATCCCCATGCTTAAAGGAAAATTGTGTAAATGTAAGTCATGGCAAATGAGAAAGAAGAAGTTGTCTTCATTTTTCCACACAATTTACAGTAAGAATMCTTCCAAAAAAAAATTCTTCTAGGGACTTAGTTTACAGATCTATGAGAAAATCAAATCACAAAAGTAAAATTATAATGTAGGTTAAATAGGAAATAATTCGGGCTCAATTTTTGTTTCTATACTTTAAAATACATTGTTTCCAATTTAAAAAAAAAAAAAAGTTCTCATGACATTGTTAAGCACCCCCCAACACACAAGGAGGTTCCAGTGGAAGCTGGGAGCAAGCAGTTTCCAATTTAAAAAAAAATATTCTCACTGTATGTCTTGTGTACAGTGTAGAAGAAGCAACTCAGTCCCAAGATAACATAAATTTTAATTTCATCCAGGAACGAAAGAGATCTTACTCCAAATAAGATGATACTGATTTTGGTGTGAGTAAGCCCAGTGCCTCCTACAAATAGTTGCCAGCATCCCTGAAAATTGAAACTCCTACCTTGGGTTTCCTTTGGGCAAAGCATAATTATTTTGAAGCCCTGAGGTAGAGAATCGAGACTTTAATCCAAACGGTCCAGGAAAAGACATCAGATTGCATTTTTATACTCCTGTTCCTCCCACACTCAACGAGAATTATTCTTGCCTGACAGTTAAGGTTGTCTTTTTTGAAAAAGTCTTCTTTTTTGGCATTATCTTGACAACCCAGGATACCTAATGCAACGAGAGAAGGGTAAAGGAATTTTATAGCACCTAGTTTGTTTTTATTTTCTTTTGCTTATTAAGTTTTCCAACTGTTAGTAAAAATTAAATAATTCTAACTTCCTAAATGTTTTGACTTACCCCTACTTTCATGTTAGATGTTAAAACTGTGTTCTGTAAATATCAGAATCAGAATTTTTGAAAATGAAATGTGGATTATGAGCAGAAAAGATACTTTCTTAATCTTAAAAAAAAATAAGAAAATATTAGTTCTACTATTTGGGTTTTTTTAACAGTAAATATGTAACTTTATTGAAGGAAAATCTTATACTGCTTAAGACCATACAATCATGGTCTTTTTGATCTTCAAATAGTACAGTGTTTTCTAATACACCCTGCTTCTGATGCTAAAGATAAGGACAATTTATGATGAGAATGGAGATACGCAGGTAAAGAAAACTCCAATTTCGCATCCTACTGTTCTTCTCAATCCACAGAGTACTTCTTGCTAATACCTATAGTATATAGTTGTAGTTGGAAGTTTAACCTTGGCATAAACTCTGCCTATGTCTCTGCTATCTAATATGGTAGTCATTAGCCTCATGTGGCTACATAAATTTAAATTAATCAAAATTAAATGTTTGTTTTTTGAGGAGTATGCCCAGTGGTGGCACACGGTATGTTTATCCCCTAGCTGAATTTGTCCAATTCAGTGTTGTAAGAGCGTCCATTTTAGATAAATACAGCATGGCAGCATGGCCTTAGCTACATCAGAGAGCTTTTTTTCAATGTGAAGTGATTGAGAATTAATAACATGCGTATACATTAGTCTCAGACTGTCTTATTTCTGCTATCTTAAAGTTGAGAATGTGTTTTTTGCGGTACTGGAGATTCACCCGAAGGGCCTTGTGCATGCTGGGTGAAGTACTCTACTATTGAGCTATGTCCCCAATCCAGCTATCCTAAATTAATGTTGTGAGAACTTTTTTTTTTAATTGCTACTTTTGCCAAATGAGACTTTAGCAAAAGAATCTTTCTTCCACTCAAAGAGAGTGTTTGTAGATTAAAATGTCTACATGCCTCCCTATCTGTTCTYTGGATCCTTTCCAGTGCATTCCAAATCCCCTCAACAGGACTTGTTTTGGGTTGTGTTTGTAGTACCCAGCTATAAAATTAGCACTATTTACATTTTAAAAATGATAAGCCAAATGACACTGCTTCCAGCTCCACCATATGGAAAGAGTAAAGTGTCATTTCCTTTCCAAGGAGTTTGCCAGCTGGGTTTGAAGCAGGGACCAAGGCCCCGCAAAGAAGGTTCCAGTGGAAGCTGAGAGCAAGCATGGAAGGTTGGCCTTACAGGCTTATGTCCAGTCCTAGCATTGGCCCAAATACAACTTTTCCCAGGAGTGACAGCTCAGATTCTGGCATACTTCCTGAAATGTGTTTTTATCTCATTTTATTTGGGAAAATAGTCTTCTGGGGCACTTGTCCAAAAAATATGCCCAATTTGTATGTCTGTTTAATGTCTAAACTACAGTTATCCCCTCTCCAAAAACAAGAATTTTGAGAATATCTTTGGGCATTGTCCCCTCTGATCATGAGGCCTGTATTGTATCTCATACTCCAACTCTGAAATATTTGTGCAAGCAAATAAATTTGGAGGCTCATCCATCCCAAGGGGAGAAATCATATTATGAATGCTCRCCTCTGGGGAGGCCATAGTGCTTACCTATGAACTGCACCTTTAGAAAACATGTTCTGTTTTTATAGGATTTGTTCTCCCCTACCCCTTCCTACACACACAATGAAAAGGTTAATCCTGGTTGTCCACAAGCACCCATCAAATGGTTTCATTTGTCAGATATTTATTGCTATGATGCACCTTGAACCTCCAAAGAGTTTTAAATTAGTGAACATGAATTAATGAGCAGCTGGGTTCAAACCCACCCATGTGCTTCAACTCCCARCTCTGCAGAACTTGGGTCATGGCTGGGCATGGCAATGGTAGGGATCTTCGGACAATACTGCTGGATGTTCCAGTCTTGCCTTGGAATATTCAAAGAATTATTTCTTTGGTCTTGAATTTTGTGGTAATGCTTGTCCACTCTTGTTCTTTTCTCTCTCCTTCCTTCCTTCCTTCCTTCCTTCCTTCCTTCCTTCCTTCCTTCCTTCCTTCCTTCCTTTCTTTCCTTTGAGATGAGGTCTCTCTTTGTGGCCCAGGCTGGCCCCAAACTCTTGGGCTCCAGCAATCCTACTGTCTCAGCCTCCAGAGTTCCTGGGGTTACAGGTGTGCACCATTTCACCTGGATGGTTATGTTCTCTTTTGAAAGGGCTTTAAAATCCCAGCAAATGGCTGCTGCCTTATTCAAATAGACTTCTGTGAGCACCTAAGAAAGTGAKCGAGTTGCTCCATCTTTCCACATTTTCCCCCTCTCTTTGCCCRGTCTCTCACTTCTGATTCAGGACCTGGACTGTTAAGAAGAGAGAAACGGAATGAGGTAATTCAGTCATTTTTTTTTTTCCATGAAGTCTGTCAACTTTCTGGATGAAGATCCATTATTAGACTATCTTTAGTCAGATTTGGATTGTCATAAAATGCTGGCCCTATTATTCTGTTCACTAGAATTTTTATGAAGGACCAAACCAGCCTATCTTTTATTAAATAATTGGTTGATCACATGTGATATATGGCTAATGAGCAGTCCTATTAGAAGCATGAAGTGTAAATTGCCCAAAACTATTTTAACACCCTTTAGCTTACACTCTTCCAAATGTTTACCTATGACAGCATGCTTAGGTAAGCTGCCACATACAGATTCTCATCTAGGAGAAATCTGTCAGTTTTGCTTTATAAAAATAATACAAGTTCAAGACCACTGAGCAGAGAGGAACCAGTTTCCTTTTCTTGAACTATATCTCCTGCCTTTTACCAGGCATCACACAATACATTCCCCAATTCCAGAATGACTTCATTTCCTTCTTATAATCCCAGATAGGCAGTTAAATGGCAATAAAAGGTAATAAGCAATATATATATATATAAATGGGCCTTGATTTTTTTAACATTCTAACTAAACCAGTTTCTCTTGAAGTACATTGTATTTCCATTTTCATCTACAGTTAGAATTTAACATTTCCTTCAGACTTGCTGTCTTTACACACAAAAAGAGAACAGAAAAACATTTCACAAAGATGAAAAGTTCAAGATCCTAAACCAAGCTATTTCTTTTAAGAGATACCCTTAGCTGTATCTGAAAGCTCAAAGGGACTCCCTGTCAGTAACCAGTCACCCTCACTCTGACCCTTCTGTGGTCTCTGGCGTCTTGAGTGGGGTGACAAACAGCCAGCCTTGGGTCACTGGGGATAAGCCCTTGACAGATAATTGGGCTTATTCTCTGTCAAAGCTGCAATCCAGAACCTGGCTTACAATGAAACCTAAATTACACACCAGTGGCTAATACTTAGAAGTCTGCCTTAATAACCCATAATTGAAATTTTTGTCTATTCATGTAGACTTTGACAACGAAGATTTCAGACTCATTTTTCTAATTCAACCTTATTAGGAAAAGGTGCTCCAGAAAATGGTTCCAAATTGCTAGCATCCTTTTTATTCAAGTGTTTACATGCACAAAGAATAGCCTGATCATTCCCAGCATTGCAATACTGTGTTCCTGGATAGCAGTAGCCTTTCCAGGCCAGCTCCCAGGAGCCAGCCTAGTGGGYATATTATCAAATTACTGAGAGACACTTTGATACAGGTGGTCCTGAAGTTAACAGTGGGGGCTGATCTAGAGGTTGACAGTCCTGTGCAGGAGGAAGATAGGATGATGGAGTGAGGATGGTCCTGAAAAAAGTGAGAACACAGATTCATTCTTCAGGACCAGCCAGACACGAGCTCTGGAACCTATATATGTGGGATGACTCTGAATGGGGTGGGGACTCTGATAATAAGCTACTCAGTTGGCTTATTATCAATACAATCCCATAAGCCCAGGAGATAAAAGGTAAAGCTTGGGACCCAGCTACTCAGTAATATTGAACAGTACACATTTTAACATCCTTTGCAACTATCTCCTTTCCTGCAAGATGTTGGCTGTTTTCTCATTTATTGCTTAAATTAAAATTCCACAGAGTCTGCTTTGAACTGTGGTATTTTATCAATCCTGAGTCTTGGGACACTGTTTGAAGTAATTAAGGTATTATGTGTTAAAACCTGTGTGGTTTTTCTCTTGTTTACTTTGTGGGAAAGGATGACAGAAGCATGTACAGTATCTTGGTGCTAATACACCATTATAGATTAACGTGGAGTGTTAGATGACTCGGCCTTATCTTAACAGGCTTTCTGTCCCTGAAGGCAGAAGTCAGGCAGCAGGAGAATGTGATTCTGCGGAAATAGCCCACATCCTCAGAATGTTCCCAGATCACGGTCTTCACTTCTGTACAGATGTGCTCAGTTGTTCTTGCAGTTCTCACCTTTATTTATATTGAAAAGAAACTAATGCAGCACTTTCCATAATAAAGGAGCCTGGAAAGTATTGCTAATATATGAGGCCTTTCATTTTACCTTGTTCCTTTTCCCTCATCTAGTCTACACCTTGTGAAATATCTTTTTTTTTTTTTCCATCTATATCATTTCCAACCAGTAGCTCAATTTTAGCTTTGTTGAGGCTCAATTGTTTAAAAATTTCAGGGCACAGATGCAAGATTTATTTAACAAGGAAATAAAAGAGAGTACTCTGGTATCGTAAACCCCATTACTGCTATGACAGTGGCCCTTCTCACACTGAAGAAGGAGGAGGCACTGCTAACCCCTGGGCTCTCTGATKGCCATTGGGTAAGGATCAAGGAACCACAGGAAGAAGACTTGGAACATCTTCTGGAGTGTCTGCCTTGTCCAGAGGGCTCCAGGAGTGGTGGGCAGGAGGTGACCAGTCTTCCCARATGTGTCAAGTTGACAGGCCATATTCTTGGTTTCTTCTCCTCCTGATACAGGGCCAAGCATACCTACAAAAAGACGTTGCTGGAGGAGGTACAGGAGCTGGAAACCAAGACCAGAGTGATGGGGAAAGCCATGCTGCGGGACAGTAATGGAAAGAGGTGGGTAGTTCCATCAGATTGTGTAAAGGACATRGTGCTTTTGGCCCTCCTCCCTAGTTTCCTTCCTGTGTTTCTTCATCTCAGTTTCTGAAGAGAGCAGCGTGCTCAGGTTTAAGCTTTTGAGTTACTGTCTAAGAATGTCATCACAGTGAGATTTAGATTGCACCCTCTGACCTATCTGGCCCAGTCCCACCTCTACGACTGGGGGTTTTATTGGGTTTGGACACTGTACTAGTCAGCTTTTTGTTGCTGTGATTAAAATACCCAACAACAGCTTAGAGGAGAAAATGTATATTTTGACTCATTGTGTCACAGTTCTCAGGCCACGGTCAACCATTGCTCTGGGTCTGAGATGAAGCAGACCATCATGGCAAAAGCATGGAGGGAAGCCACTCAGTTCATGGTAACCAGGAAGCAGAGAAAGAGACTGAGGCACTGGGGCCAAAGACACACTCCCAGGGACCTACTTTCTTCTCCCACACCCCACCTGCCTTTAGTTACCACCCACTTAGGCCATTTGAACCAGGATGGACTCATTAAGTTTCAGTTCTCATTATCTAATCATTGCACCGCCCATATTAGCATAGGAGCTTTTGGRGGACACCTCAAATACAAATTAAAATCGGCATGAACAAAAAAACTACATGCAGAGAATTGACATTGGAACATGCTATTTCAAGGTGGAAGAGTGCATGTTTAGCAGTCTTACCAAAGAGGATCTTAAAGTCAGGCTTTTAATTTCAGACCCAACCATTGTACCCAAGGTTGAGCATCTGTCATGAAGTTGTGCATGCTGAATAAAGCATATTTTTACTTACTTGTGTAAGTCTGTTACAGAGTACTTCAGTTGTACCTGGGGTTGGGGGTTGTTTTGATGAATTACTGTTTTCTATTGAGTTGAAAAAGTTCCTGGGAACTATGACACAGAAGCTGCTGCTGGCTGTCCTTGCCTTTTGGAGGATCAGCCTGCTCTTTCCAGCACTTAGCAGTATGCTGTGTGAGTAGTATTTATTTCATCACATAGACTAAAATGTTGTCAAGTGCATTTGTTTAAAAACTGTATTACCGAAGGAGATTTCCCTGGGACTGGGAACATCTGAGTACTAGAAAGCCAATGCTATCTTGGGTATATGAAATGTCTAGAAAATTCTGTACCATTTTTCCTTTTAATTGCTTAAAAAGAAATCTGTAGCTGTTAATGAAACGAAGATCTAGAAGATTAATAAATCTAGAGATTCCTGCTTTGTTTTGTTTTATATTGTACTTATTTGGATATTGTACTATCTTTTTAAAGAAATTAAGACAAAGCAGACTTTTTTAAAAGAAGGAGAACAAATATTTTGAGAAGTTTTTAGGAATATTATTTCAAATAACTAGATGTTTTAGGAAAGAGATTTCAGAGGATATAGTTGAAGTCATGGTTTGGSGTTTTATTTAYGGCTTGTTTTCTAATAAGTGAGTACTTTAAGCATTCATTGTGTGGTAGTCATGCTAATTACCATAAAAAATTACTAGACACCAAGACAAAAATTACTGTTTTCGATAAATTTAAAACGGTGAATATGTGGAGGCTGAGTTTACAGGGGGCTGAGTTTACAGCAAGCAGGTCTGCATGTAGCTACTGTGCAGTACAGCACCAGGCTAAGGCATGGGCAGGGCTGCTTTATCTGTCAGACAGTGGAGGCAGGAACTTGCAGCATTCTTTTGAGACCTGAAAAAAAAAAATTCCATTTGTAGGTTTCAAAGTTGAGCTAGGGGAACCCCACAGCAAATTGAAATTGGAAAATGTTTAAAAGCTCTATAAAATGTCTACCTGTCTCAATACCTGTTAAAAACTTAATAAGCACAAYAAGTTTTATCACATTTGGAAGCAGTCTGCAGGTCTTCTTGCACCTCATGAATTCTTAAGCATAATAGGATTGCTAAACAAACATAAGTAATTTAATTTTTTGGTTTTGGTTTTGGTACTGGGTTTGGAACCCAGGGTTGCTTCATCACTGAACCATATCCCCAGCCCTTTTTTTTTTTTTTTTTTTTTGAGACAGAGTATCACTATCACTAAGTTGCCCAGGCTGGCCTTGAATTTGTGATCCGCATGCCTCAGCCTCCCAAATAGCTTATATTACAGGTGCATGCATCACTGCACCTGGCTCAGGCATAAGTAATTTCTAAGTAAACTGGGAATTTCAAAGCAAAATTCTAAACTCTAAATCCTAAACTACATTTTGCAGGAAAGCATTGCCTATAATGCAGTAAGAGAATGTGCTTTCACAAGCTTGTTGGGATATGTGGCAGGGCTTTTGAAGTTCTGTCATGGGGTCAATAAGGAGTACATTYAGAAGAGTCAGCAACAGGCCATCTGCCTGGTGTTACCAAGAAAGAATTCATGTTGGAGATGGGATCGCCAGCAAGGCTTTGAGGAAGTGAAGGAATGAGTAGAGAGCAGCAATCAGAGTGTATTTCAGCTAGAGGGACGTGCATGCAGAGGCACAAACAAGACTGTGCAGAAACAAAMCAACTCAGTTTAGAGGGAGATTTCTCAGTGATCTGGAGACGGCATTTGAATTCTGAGTCGCTTAGCTGTGTGACCTTGAGCAAGATGGTCATATGATGAGAATACTTTGGGTGGGGTGCGTAAGGCTTATGAAATAGTACACAACAACACAGCAGGCTGCCTGAACCCTCATGGGGATGCAGCATGGCAGCTGTGAGTATCCAKTTTGGCCAGAGAGTGGTAATATTGAAGGGAATCCTGCCTGGGCTGTCAATCCTAAAAGAGAACATGAGCCCCATCTTTGCTTGTTGATAAAAAGAAAGTAATTATTTGGTGTGTGTAGTGGTGCTGGCAGATCACACCAAAGGCCTCACACTTGCTGGGCAAGCTACATTCCCAGCCCTCAAAACTTTTTTTTTTTTTTTACCCCTAGAATGTGGATTTATAACTTTATTTTTTCTGGTGCTTTAGTTTGTTTGTTTTTTTTTTATTGGTTCATTATAATTACACATAATGGTGGGATTCGCTGTTACATATTTGTATATACACACAGTATAACAATATAATTTGGTCAATATTCTTCCCTAGTATTTCCCCTTTCCCTCCCATCCTCTCTCTCCCTGGTTCCCTGCCACTACWATACTGGTCTCTGTCTGAGAACATAATTTTAAAAATCTACCTATCCTGTTCAAAATTCACTTTTTTTTTTTTAAAGAGAGAGTGAGAGAGGAGAGAGAGAATTTTTAATATTTATTTTTTAGTTCTCGGCGGACACAACATCTTTGTTGGTATGTGGTGYTGGGGATCGAACCYGGGCCGCACGCATGCCAGGCCAGCGCGCCACCGCTTGAGCCACATCCCCAGCCCCTCAAAATTAACTTTTAAATGTTCCAGTGCATACCAGAAGACAGAGTTAAATGGGGTTTCTTTTGAAAAAAAATCTCTGTTCTGGTCCCTTGGTAATTTGCACAACTTTGTAATTGATGTGATTGTGTGTGCATGCACATGTTGTGTATGAGGGTGTATATGTGTGTGTGCATGCACCCACATGGTTACAGCCTGATTCCTTTTCTCCTCCCTGTGCTACACTGTGGGATTGCTAGCTACAATATAGCGTGGGGGTGGCTATCCCTCAGCACCCACCCTTTGTTTGTTTCCCTCCTAATTGCTCCAGATTTTCTGGGTGGTCCATCTGCAAACTAGATAATGGTGGCATGCTGCTCTCTTCAAGAGGCGATTTGTCCTGCTTGGCCTCCTGAGAGCTGCCCCACAATTGTTCTTTTATCACCTTCATTTGATTTTTTCACACCTGCTTGGATTCTGGGAGGGGTGATTGGGAAGGGCAAGTGGGGGAGGTTGAGATTAGAGACCAGTTCAGTTCTTGTAAAGATTTTACAGACTCCCTCTTTGAGATTCTAAGTATTTTTGCCACTTCTTACCTTTCCTATTTCTTGCCTTTCCATTCCTTCTTCTCTTCCTCACCTAATTTTTCTTTTTACTCTAAAATTCCTCTCTGGTTGTTAATCTGGCACATAGTGGAAACTCTGTGAATATTTGTTAACTGACCTGCTAAAAATGCAAAAGTCTATGGARATGGCATCAATGAAAGAAAGGAGATCTGGTGCCCGAGGAGGTGTCCAGCTCATTTTGGAAGTGGCCACAGAGAGAAGCTGAGAGAGTGCAGTCACTCAGCCTTGTGGGGCGGGGGGTGGGGGTGGGGACAGTTTATCTTATCACTTAAGAATAGAGCTAACATGGGGCTGGGGTTGTGGCTCATTGGTAGAGCGCTTGCCTAGCATGTGTGAGACACTGGGTTCTATTCTCAGCACCACTTGTAAAGAAGCAAATAAAATAAAGATCCATCTACAACTAATGAAWATATTTTTAAAAAAGAATAGAGCTATCATAAAGTCACCRGTAGAGAGGCATTGTGCTACCCCTGCAAAGATGCGCAGGCTAGGTAGGAGCTGGTCCTGCCCTGCTGCCCCAGCCCAGCCTCTGCACCCAGGGTCCTCGGCAGCACAACCACAAGAAGATGACTTCACTGAGTTCTGACAGCATCCCTCAGGGGCCCAATAAAGACATTCTGCCCCCTCACAGCATCCAGGTCCAACCCAAGGGCACACATTCTAATAGTTTTTCTTAGAAATGTATAGGGAATAGAACAAAAATTGTTATGTATTGATCTTTGAAAACCTTTCTCATCTGCCAAATTGACAATTATAATTTTGAAATGGTGGCTKCGGATTCAAAGGTTCCCTTTATGTCTTATCCATTCAAGAAAATAACCTAACATTTTAATAGACCTTATCTGAGTTCCCAACTTCTGCCCTATTTTGAGAAATGTTAAATTCTCATTAACCTGCTTCTACGCTTTCTCATTAGCCAATCTTGTCTTCCAAAAATTAACCTGTGGAATTTATGCATCCGTAAGCATGTTCTCATGACTTTAATAAGGTAAGCTGATAATGAGAAACACTGAGATCAGAGAATTAGATATGCACAG